AAGGAAGGCAACTAAAATGGTGAAGGGTCTGGAAACCAAGCCCTATGATAAATGACTCAGGGAGCTGGGGATGTTTAGCCTGGAGAACAGAAGGCTGAGAGGTGATTTGATAGCCGTGTTTAAATATTTGAAGGGATGTCATATCGAGGAGGGAACAAGCTTGTTTTCTGCTGCTCCAGAGACTAGGACCCAAAACAATGGATGCAAGCTGCAAGAAAAGAAATTCCACCTCAACATTAGGAGGAACTTCCTGACAGTAAGGGTGGTTCGACAGTGGAACACACTCCCTCGGAGAGTAGTGGAGTCTCATTCCTTGGAGGTCTTTAAGCAGAGGCTGGATGGCCATCTGTCAGGGATGCTTTGATTGGGAGTTCCTGCATGGCAGGGGGTTGGACTGGATGGCCCTTGTGGTCTCTTCCAACCCTATGATTCTATGATTCCATATCATAGCCAGATTTGAAACCAGATTGAAATGGATCTAGATAATTGATTTTATCCAGAAACTCTTGGTAGTGGGAGACTGCCACATTCTCCAATATCTTGCTCAAAATGGTAGCTTGGACAACTGGCTGATAATTATCCATTATAGAGAGATTCAAGGATGGCTTTTTCAATTAAAGCCTCACAACTGCCTCCTTTAGACAAGTTGGAATGTTGCCCTTGTTGTAAGGAGGCACTAACTACTCCCTTCACCCACTAACCCAGTCCCCCTCTGGCCTGTTTGATAAGCCATGAAGGGCAAGGGTCTAGCACACATCACTACTCTAAGGATCCTACCCACACCCTTAGCCTGCACACAAACTTGAATATCCATTAACACTGGACAGACAGGAGCCAAGGTTACATTCACTGGAACTATATTAACTGTAGCATATAAGGAGCAGATCTGAGCAATTTTACCTGAAAAGTGTTGTGCAAATTCTTCACAGTGGATTGTCAACTGTCTGCATTTTCTACTTGAGGACCAGTGCATAATGACCTTCTGACCACTTAAAACAGCTGTGCTGTACAGGTCCCTGCAGATGCAATGCTGCCAGGAAAAAATAATATCTTTGCTGCCCATACTGCCATGGAGGAGGCCTTCAAATAAGTTCTAGCCTGTGTTTGGTGAGACTCACTCCAAGTCTTCCACCATGTAGCTCTAGTGTCTGTCTCACTTGCTTCATCACCACCAACTGCCTGGAAAACTGGAGAGGGGGAGTGGATTTGACTCCACTCCATAAGAAGAGACACTCCCCAAAGGTAATTGGTTGCCCATTTAGATTGCAAGATTAAAACTAGAGAAGGCTCCTGTACTTTTAATTGTTGTGTAGAAGAGGAAATTTCAGCAGGTGTTGCTTGTCATACAACCAAGATCCCATTCATACTACAGTTTTACTGCTGTTATTCCACATTAAATGCCACGGTTCCATCCATCAATCCTGATAGTCTGGTGAGGTACTGGAGTGCTGTGGCTGAGAATTTGAAATGCCCCAGCTCAAACTGCCAGTCCCAACATTCACTAATGGCAGTTAAAGTGGAATAATAGCATTTTAATTCTATAGTATGATTGGTCCCCTGGTAACAAGCAACACCTGTTGACATTCACTCTTCTACACAACCATTAAAGGAATAGGAGACCTCTCTGGTTTTATTTCTGGCAAACCATTATGATTACAAGGTTTTATCTTCTTTTTCTAAGGAACTCTACTTTCCTGGTTTTCAAAAATGACTAAAACAATCCTTCTTATATTAGTTGATTAATTAATTACACTGGTTTGTAGCTACATACCACTGATCTGTGGTTTCCTCCCATCCATGAAATCCTCACCTCAAAATCTACAACAGAGAACAAAGCACCAAATCATTTTTCCTCATCAACTATTTAGTGAAACCACAACCCTATAACTCTTAAAGTAACTAAAAATTTACAGTTATACCTCACAAGGAATTCATCTCCCTTAAACTACAAATGTAACACAGTCTTAGTTATTCAGAAAGGAATTAACTACAAATAACTAGTTATTTTCAAGCTTGCAGTCAGAAAATGTATGCCTCTGAGCCATATACAATCCTAGACAAACAATGGGAGAAGGCTTTAACATCTTGTTGGCGCACATTGGAAACAGGATGTCCAATTAGATGAACCCTTGGTCCACTCTAGCAAAGTAATTATGTTGTTTAAGGAATGTTTGTACACGGACTTGAATCTAGAGTAGCCTTGTGTCCTATTTTACAGAGAACAGTCCTGCATTTTATTTGAAGGGATTGCTAGACAACAGTCCTCTGTTCAAAGAAATGTGCTTTTTGAAGAGCTTTCCAGTCCAATTTGGGTTTAAAGATAAAGAATTCCTTTTTGGCAATTCATAATCGGCCACCCTCGTTGCATCATAGAAAACATAACCTTCAGATAGTGCTGTATGTGTCTCAGAGAGTGTATTCAGTCCTGGAAAAGCTATAGCATAGCTTCTGGGGAGAGACATTTTTAACCAAGCAGTAAAGTAACTGTGTCTGTTTGTCGTTACGGAGCTGTTGTGCTTTGTGTTTAGTAGGTCAACAAACTGTCGGCCGATTAATTTGTGTCTGGGCCTATCACGCAAGGGCTGTTGTTTCACAGAAGGTTTCAATCAGTACAGCCAAGCCAGTAAAATAGGACATCCTGGTCAGAATTACTTTCTCAACCTCCTCTTGAACTGCTGCTTTTCCAATCAGTCTTGGCAGATTTCATTAACAGCCAGCAACTAGTGCATGCATGTTTAACTGTTCATTCAAGAAAAGGGTATATAATCTGGTGCAGCTTTTGATAATGTTCCCAGTATAAAATGCAGAAAGGTGATCAAATCATTTTAGCTCAATCCTCCCTGTTTGTCTGCCTGCCTGCTTGTCATCATGGTTCTCTCTGTGTGACATTATAGGATGGTGCCTTGCTGCAGAATTAATGCAGTTTGACATCACTTTCACCATCATGGCTCCATCCTATGGAGTCCTGGGATTTATAGTTTGTTATGGCACCAGAGCTCTCTGACAGAGTAGGCTAAATGTCTCTCAAAACTACAAATTCAGAATTCCGTAGTGTTGAGCCATGGCAGTTAAACACAGTGTAATCAAACTGCATTCATTATATAGTACAGATATAGCCTTAGTCCTCAAGGTCTATTGGGCAGTGGTGTCGTGGACCCAGAATTTGCAGGAATGACACACCAGGATCTTTCACCAACCTAGTTGCTGACGTCATCTCCCATACTGTTTCCTCGGAGGTGGGGAGAGAATTTTCTTGGAGTGGAATAAGAATTTTCCCAGCCACAACATACCATTATGAGCTATCCCTGTTATTCTGCAACGTATTTACCTGGGCCTCCAGTGCACAACTAAGACCAATAAATTTTACAAAGGACCTGCTCCAGGTGGAGATGAAAATGACTAAAATTGCTCTGTTGACATGGATCAACACAGCCATATTTTGGCACTCTTCTTGGGATCAGGGCTCTGGAATCTGTCCAATGAGCACCTTTGTCTCCAAATTTACCAGTACACAGCTGCAGCACTTCCTCCCTCAGCTACAGAAACCCTCTGGGTGACCTTGGGCAAGTCACACACTCTCAGCCTCAGAGGAGGGCAATGGCAAACTGTCTCTGAACAAATCTTGCCAAGAAAAAGCTTGTGATAGGTTCGCCTAGGGTCACCATAAGTTGGAAATGACATGAAAGCACATGACAACTCTCAGGTCAAGGTGCACCGTGCCCAAGAGTTGCTCTGTTACTCCAAGAGTGCCTTTGCCCAAGGATCTCCCCCACCTGTAGCAAACAAGACCCCTATTCTGTCTTATACCAGGGGCTCTTTCACACTAGACAACTATGGCACAATGTTTCCACTTACTGTTGGAGCAAATGTGTCTAGAATTCATTAGAAATCATGTTTGAAAAACACTGCCCATCTACTGTGCAGGATGCATTGCTCCATTCTTAGGACCCAGGACTTCCCCCCTCCCTCTTTGAGTTGGCCTTCTTGTTCAATAGTTCCCTAAAGTAAGAAGTGCCAGGTGCCAATTATCCTTGTTCTCCTGTTGTTTATCTAAAAGTAACTTTTTCTTATGTTTCGCTTACACTTCCCGCTTCATAATTGAATTTGTAGTTTCAGCCCTTGTTGCCATTTAATGTGACAACTGGCCCTTATTCTCCCCACCACCACCTGGCTGCTTTCCCCCCTGCTTTTTCTTTGAGAAAAGAACTGGAGATGTTTTGTTTGTTATTATTTTGTTCCAGTGGAACATGGCGAAGACTAGGAAGCCAAAAATCTGACCAAAATCTTACAAAAGCTAGTAATCTTATCCAAGCACACTGGGAAGTTTTGAAACAGAGATATCATTTTCAACAAAAGCCAGTAAAGTTTCTTTTGTTTTTTCTTTCTGAAAATATCTTCAAAATGGATTTATGCACACACAGACAAGTTGAGTATGTGACATGACAGATCTTACTGCTACTGAGAATATCCTGTGTGGAACAAGCAAACGCCATCTTGTCCTTTACTTATTTCAGGGAGCAAATTGTCTTTAGTCTGCCATCTTCATTTGAATGTGTGTTGGTAAACTTCCTACATCTTGCTAGACATATGTTATGCTTTTCTCTAGCTTGCTTTTTCTCTATAGGTAGTGGAAGCAGCCTATGGCCGTTATTCTACTTCCCTTCATGTATATTCATTTAAGAACCAGAGTGGTGTAGTGGTTTGAGCACTGGATTCCAACTCTGGAAACTAGGATTCAAATCCCCACTGTGCTATGGAAACCCACTGGTGGCCTTGAGTAAGTAACATTCTCTCAGCCCCAGAGGAAGGCAAAGGCAAACTCCCTCTGAACAAATCTTGCCAAGAAAACCCCATGATAGGCTTGCCATAGATGTCTTGAAATGGCACACAGCAACATGATGGAAATGACTTGAAGGCACACAGCACCAATATTCCTTTAACTACTTTAGACTGTGCCAGAACACTGGAGTGGATCCAGGGAGTGATGACTGGTGGCTTCATGTTAATGGAGAAGTGACTCCACTCCAAGTTTCAGTCTGAACTTTAAAGAAACTATCCAAGGTACTCCATCCCCATAGTGGGTCCAGAAAGTTGAATAGCTTCTTTATACACTCTTCCCTCCACATTTGTGGCTTTGACTTTTGCAGTCAACACCTGCTAGAAGTCACATAGGAAGACCTAGAGATCCTAGAGAGAACACTTCTTTAGGTATTTGTAAGTCCTCTTCCTAGAGAGGTGTCCTCTCAGATTAAAAAAATTGTGTGTGGGAGGGGTTATTTATGGTTTTTCCACTTTCATTGGGATCATGCAATAGCAATAGCAATAGCAATAGCAAGTACATTTCTATACAACTTATCAGTACATTTAAGCACTCCCTAAGTGGTTTACAATGTGTAAGCTAATTGCCCCCCCCCAAAAAAAGCTGGGTACTCATGCACCCCTAACCTCAGCGAATGTGGTGGGCCCATTGTGGTTCAAACTAAATCCCAGAGCAGATTCACCACCACCCTGCTGACATGAAAGCCTCAAAGTGCTACTAGATTCAGGAAAATCTATGTTCAAATCCCCCTCCAGTCATGAAGCTTATTAACTACTTTTATTTGATAGTCAGTATCTCTCAGCCTAACCTACCTTTAATGAAGATAAAATAGGAGAAGCCCATGGAATCCAACCATGGGGAAGCATTGACAATGTATCAGCAAATAAATAGGTCCTGAATCCATAACAGCTGGGAATTACAAGATATGAGGAGTGACCCATCGTTCAGGAAGAGGCTAAGAGCCAGTCAAGTACATGTATATTTGTACAATTGTTTGCACTTATATTCAGACTCTGATGTAATTTAAATATCACTAGAAATCTGGAAAATAAATAATATGCAAAGGAGCCCTCTGATTAACCTCCTGTCAGAACTGATATATGGAAGCACACTATTATTTTAGTTTGCTTGAACAATGAGATGACCTCCTGTATCCTGAACTAGTCTTGCTTTGAAAATAATTAGTTTATCAAGTTTCTTGGCTTTCAGAAGAATGAGGATTGCCTAAGCTCTAGCTGGCTTCCATAATTAATTTAATGCTCATAAACAAAGAATAATGTGTGTGACCAAGTCCTTCCATTTATTATCTAATTACAAATAGGAACAGAGCATCAGAGTTTGCACTCCTTCAGACTACAATGTATTGGCACCCAAATAATCAGTCTCTGTGTTTGTTTGTTCTGGTTAAGGAACTATTTGATGCTCCCTTCTAATAATTATAGCAGCCAACTCATCTCTTGACCTGCCAAAAAAAGACAGAAAGAGAGAGAGAGAGCAGGGAGATAGGCCAGGAAGCCTCCTACTCCATTAACTAGGCAGAGCAAGCCAAGAGTAAACAAGGAGTAGAGAAGGGAAGCCATCCCAGAAGGGGACACTTTTGCCCAAATAGCCTGATCACTCAAAACTCTGAATTCACACCAGCGTGTGCAAGGGGCAACGCAGTGGCCCTTGACAATTTCATGCAGTCCTTGGGTTCATGTCAAAAAGCCTCTGCATGTGAGGGAGATCTCTAAGGGGCTGAAAATTTTTCACAGCAAACAAACTCAGAGACAGGTGACAGAAAATTCCAGACTCATGGCAACACAATGGAAGCAGCACCATCCCGTCAGTGTTCTCCACCCGGGACAGGCTGGACACAAACATGGAGCATATCTACACTGCAGAATTATAGCAGTCTGATGATGCTTTAACTGCCATACCTTCATCCTCCAGAATCCTGAGATCTGTAGTTTGGTGACACACCAGAACTGTGTGATAAAACTAAATACCACACAAAACTACAAATTCCAGGATTCCATAGACATGGAAGTTAAAGTGGTATCAAACTGCTATAATTCTTCAGAGTGTATATACCAAGGCCTCTGAGGCCAGTCACATAACTGGTTCTGCTTCATGTATGAACAAACTATATACATGTGCAAACTAAATTCATTGTGTAACTATTACACACATCTATATAGTTTGTTCATGCACCCCTCCAAATGTGTATTGACATATGGCTGATGCTCATTTTTAGAAAGAAGACTGAATCCTGTACCTTTTCATTTTATTTTATTTTATTATTTATATCCTGTCTTTCTTCTGGCAAGTGACTCTAATCAGCCTTTAATGGTTGTGTAAATGAGGGAATTTCAGCAGTGTTGGTTTTCTGTGGGTTTTTTCGGGCTGTGCGGCCATGTTCTAGAAGAGTTTCTTTTTGACGTTTCACCAGCATCTGTGGCTAGCATCTTCAGAGAAAACTGAAATGGAAAAGTCTGGGTGTGTATATATATACTGTGAGACCCTGGGTAGGGAGGAGTGGTTCCCAGGTGAACTGTGTGTTGTCTGTGTTGAATATTTGTCAGCAGTGTTGCTTGTTACCTGTTTGTCTAACAAGCAACACCTTCTTTTACAACAACTGAAACGTACAGGAAATTCCTTCTTTTACAACAACCGTTAAAGGTACAGGAGCCCTCTACCATTAATTTGGAATTTCCTACCCCAACATCTGGGTAGCTAAGTAGAAAGATGGTTAGGTACTACATTGACACTAATGTTGGGAAAGCAGGAAATCAAGATTATGTTTAATTTTCTTCAATGTGGCTTTGGGGTGTGTTTTAGATTCAGTCAGATACAACTATTTATGGGATGTTTTGTATTTTGTTGCATTTGTATATTGTTGGATTTGTATTGGGAAAATGTGATATTTATGGTGATATGTTTATGTGCCCTGGTGACACAGTGGTTAAATGCCAGTACACAGGCTTGTGAGTTCAATACCAGGGCTCCAAGGCTGACTCAGCCTTCCATCCTTTCGTATACCAATAAAATGAGTTCCCAACTTGTTGGGGGCAATTGGCTTACACATTGTAAACCACTGAGTGCTGAGTTCACTATTATGTGGTACAGAAATGTAAATGCTATTGCATATCACCATAAAGGTAATTTAAAGCTAATAAATTATATTTATTACCTTGGTTGTGGTGTTTGTTATTATTCATATATCAATAAAAAATGACTAAAAAAAAAAGTACAGGAACCCTCTCCAGTTTTCCATGTGGCAATCTCAAAGCCTAAGCAGACCAGGGCATCCAGGACGCCCTGGTCTGGAGCACCGTGGGGCCA